GTGAGAATGGCCTGTCTTCATCTCTCATATTTTAGTCATGTCATCAGGCAGTACCAGTTCTTGGATAAGGATATTGAGCTGGGTGGACTAGAGGGTCATCAAAAAAGAGGAGGACCCTTAACGAGACAGACTGACGCAGTGGCTGCAACAATGGGCTCAAACATTGCAGTGACCGTGGGGAATGCAAAGGACTAGGAATTGTTTTGTTCTGCTATACATAGGGTCGCTGTGAGTTGAAACCCACTCAATGGCACCTAATAACAATGACACAAAAATTTAAAAGGCATATGCTGTAGTTAAGTTTTGTGTCAACTTGTCTGGGCCTGGTTTTGAGTGGTTGGGCAGCTAGATGTAGTTATTCCCTATGATGAGACTGGTAATCAAATCCATGGTGGAATCTACTGGAGCAGCTGAATAGCTGCCTTAAGGATGTAGTCTGCTTCCAGTATATAAGAAGACAACTTTGAGAAAGGTCTCTGAACTTTTTGGCACACTTGGACCTTGCATGTAGCCAAGTCTTCATTCCACAGCCTGACATGTTGTCTGGCCCTAGTGGTCTGCTGTGTTGCTTCATAATTTAGGGATTATGCCATTGTATTTGTTGCCAACAGCTGCTTGAGTTGAGAAGCATCCATCTTCAGTGAGCGGGGAGAAAGAGACAGAGCTAAAGCCCACGATCAAGGCATCATCGCACATCCCCTAGAGCTGGCACTTTGAACTCAGACTTCTAGCCTTCTAAAATATAAGAAGATAAATCCATTTGTTCAAGCCTTCAAGCCAACCTTTTGGTGTATTCTTGTCAGAGCAGCATTAGAGCACCAGTACAGCGTATATCCTTTTATTTAAAAATTCTAACCTGGGGAATTAACCTAGGAATATACTCAAATTTTGTAAAAAAAAAAATATTTACTGCTACATCCAAGCAACTGGACACTACCTAAATGTCTGCTGTTACCTTTTGAAGAAGGTAATAATATTATCCTGAATTAATAGATGACCATATTGGGTAAAAAGCAGTTGAGTAATCTATTCAAGGTCAGACAACTCCCACAAAATCCAGTAGGATTCAAACCCTGTCCATGTGCTTAATTATTTATACTACCTCTCATTAATTTAGAAAAGTCTAGTAGAATGAAAGTGAGTTTCAATATGTGGTCATGCCCCAGTGCCATCAAGTACTGGATTTACCAAAGTTATGTGGCATATTTCTGAGATTCTTTGTTGCATATAAAATATCTACATCATAAATTATGGTTGTATAATATAGCTAAGGATTTTCTGCAGAGGACAATCTAGATAGGATAGAATTTGTTGTTAAAAATTTTAGAACTTTTTACATTATGCTTTCAGTAGTATGGATCTAATGTCGTTGTTGTTGTTATGTGCCGTCGAGTCAGACCCGACTCATAGCGACCCCTCCTTGGGTTT